AATACCCTGGGTTCCCAGTTAGTAACTTGAGAATGTAGTTATTTTAATTGAGTTACCAAATATAGCTTCACCTTCCTAAATCTCAGTGGCTCCACTACATTCATTTGGGGGAACACTGAGGAATGCTTTCTGCTTCCCTTTTTAACTGTGTACTTGAGTGTTTTTCCCAGAACAATTTTCTGCTGTTAGTTTTTTTGTTCAGGTAAATGGTATATCCTCTGGCCCCCATCCCTGGGGGTTGAACCCAGAGGCAATCTACCACTGTACTACATTCCCAGCAGCTTTTATTTTCTGTCTTGAAACAGGGCCTCCTGTATTGCCAAGGCCAGCCTCAAACTTGTGATTCTCCTGCCTCAGCCTCCCAAGGGGCTAGGATGACAGGTGAGCTCCCCTGCACCAGCCTCCCCTGGCATATTCATGGGTTTTTCCTGCCCTTAGTACTCAATTCCTAAGCTGCCTTTACTCACTTCCATTTTCCGAAAATGAGAAAAAAGTGAAACTTCCTCAAAGTCATACTGTCTTCAACTTTTACTGCCTTGACAACTGGACCAATATGTGTGTGAATGATTTTAAGTCAATTTCTAGACTTTGTATTGTCAGGTTTTCACAGAGGAATGTAAACTGAGCCGGGCCGCTGCGGCCGTCGGGCGGAGCCCGCCGATTCCGGACGGCGGGGCGGGACTCCTGCGGGGCGGGCTAGCACAGTGGAGCCGGCGGAACTCCGCGGACGCGTCCTGCGCTCGGGGGCTCGCGAGGCGCGCTTTGTGCTTTGCCCTTCGCGCTGCCTGGGGCCGCGGCCTCCTCGCCCTCCCGGCTGGTGTTGCTGCGGGGAGGACCGGCGCGGGGCCCGGCTGGACGCTGCCCTTAGCGGCACTGGCCGGGCTGCCGGAGTAGCGGGCGACGTCCGGGACCGACCGCGGGGTGCTGGACAACTTTGGATATTGAAGGTTGACTTCGTGGACTGCCCTGGTGAAATGACCAGGAGCAGGCCTGGCGTTCTGTAGCACTAAGGATCCTAGAAAGGGAAAGTGTTTATATACAAAATGCAGATGAGCCCCTAACGTCATATTTAGTAGATTCGAAGACGAACTGTTAAAAGGGAATGACATAAAAATTTTAATCCAAATCAGAAAAGGAACTCCTCAGCGCTCTAGGAAGATGAGAATATTTGAGAGGGCGTGTGTGCTCTACCTATGGCTATTGCTAATTCTGTGGTTAAAATGATTCTAATGGAAACGTTTGGTGATTAAGAGAATGGGCTTGCTTTAGAAATACGTCTAGCCTCAACTTCCTAAGCCATAAATTTTATAGCATAGTGCCTGGCTCAATAAATGGTAGCTTACTCTTGTTGTTGTTTTATTATCTGTGCAGTATGGCAGCCCTTAGGAGGGCTCCCCAGAGGTGATAAACTGAGGCGCTTTACAGGATAATACGCAGATAAATTACTAAGATGAAAAGGAAGACTGGGCACTTAGCCTGTCTCTTCAACAACTTATAGAGTTGTCTTATGTAGATGATTTAACCACAGACTTAATATGCTATCTGATTTCTATGGCCAAAGCCAATGTCCTGAGGTTAGCCAGTATTGCCCAAAGGCACCAGGAGCAACTTGTTATGCCTGAATAAAAAAGGACTTTGAAGATATTATCCTTTTGGTAGCTTAAAAGATACATCAAGAAGAATAATTATTACAGTGAAATCCAAATGAAACATGAGAATTGTTTTTTTGTTGTTGT